TCCAATGGAGACTTCGATTGTAAGACCTCCTCCCTCTTCCTGTTTTCTTCCTTGACCACGAGGTCATACAACAAGTCGATGACCAGATGAGTGATGGGATTGACAATAAAAAAACTGGTCTTTGAAAGTACGAACAAAGTCTAGATACACCCAAAACAGTCTCCTCGGCTGCTTCAAAGACACCCAACTTTGCCGGCCCTGGATCGTCTGTCGTTATAGATGAAAGATGCAAAAAAAAGAGGCAACGTGGCCCTAACATTGAGGTATCGACATACGAGCTTGAACACTCTCACAAACGCGATCGCGTTGGGATGAAGCTGTGAAGGCGCCAGGCGCAGCCAGTCAAACACTCCTCGTTGGAAGTCACTGAAGGGAAGACGTAGACCCGCTTCCCAGAAAGCAAATGCGTACATGGGAAACCTCATCCCTTTGAAAGACGAACATACGTGATGATGTTCTCGGGGTTTGTAAACTTGCCAATTCGGGGAAGAGCCCTCACAACGCTCCTCATCAGTAGCGTAGGCGTCTGAGTCGTCCTCGACAAAGCGTGAAGGGATGCTCAGGAGCTCCTGCCCGACCCAATCTTCAGAAGTCCGCTTTCGAATTCGTTCGGTCTGTGCGATCGGGGAATTAGGCACATCATCAATCTCGTTGACCCCTTCGATCCATGCAACCATTTTAACCTAAAAATCAGAGGAAAACGATAAATTCGACGTTTAAGATCAAATCCACCCTTCCACCGCAAATCAAGTGAAAAGGCGAAGATAGGGGCACATAGCCACCGGACAGGCCTCCCCGACCGAAAACACCCAACTAGGGTACTCGTCTAAAGGAAGCTCTTCTTCGACTACGTGACCCCGCCCGACAAGAGAGTAGAGGAAGTTCTTAGCAGAATGGGGAAAACGTGTGAATGAAACGGACTCGCCCCCTATTTATAATACTAGCACGGGACTCGAGGCGTCCCTATGCACTTGAGTGCCCCTATTAATTGTCGTCCTAGGCATTAATTTCTCTGACACATGACACTAACAGACACCTCACACACCCGTTCAAATTCCTCTCATGCCCGGAACCATACGTGCCCGTCCCCTCCAACGTCTCCCACGCAGAAGAGTCTGCAGTCACATTACCCCGCCGGAGAAGCTCGACACCTGGCCGTATCCACCATCCTCGACGTTGGAACTGACCCTTAAGTCATTACTCTTCCACTTCGGAGCAACGACTTAGGGGGCACCTGTTCTGGACTGAGCCAGTAGCTGCCTCACAGTCGGGCAGACCCAACCCAATACTATATTAGGGAGGCCCAATTCTCCATCCCGTCGAGCAAGCCGCAATACACTCTGCAGTCGGACAGACCACTACTTAGCACGGGGAGGGCTCACGTGTCTCCCCCACGTTCTCCATGTGTTTCCCACACGGGGATACGTCATCAAACAACTACCCGTATCCTAAAGAACCAGCCTTCCACCTTTTAAGGATCACTGGACAGTTGGATTAGGGTGAAGACCACGTGCTAGTCTTTCCTACGCCACGTAGACTCTGACAATTACTTGTGTTATGCCTGACAATCCAATCCAATGCAATGTAACTGTTGGCCCAGTGCTGGGGGCACACTATAAATATCCTCTTTCACTAGAGGGTCAGGTATTCTGAATTCTGTTCTCTACACCTTTTCTATGTACTTGCTTTCTCTCTTGCTAAAACTTACTTTGTCATCGGAGTACCTTGCAGATACACTTCCTCTTCTTTTTCACCACCGACAAACAAAAGAGCTCACGACGTGTGCTGACTGCTAATTCTTTTCTAATCCAGTAAGATCAATTATTATTACATTTTTTAATGTGTGAAAGATAAAAAAACGACTTATAATAAAATAAGAAGGAATAATGATAAGGACACTAATTAGAAAAATATTGTTTCAACACCTATTAGGATGAAAATTAAATAAAACACCTATTAGGATGAAAATTAAATAAATTTTGGATTGTAAAATTATTAAGTTAATCTGGATTGTTAAAATTAACTTTCCAATAGAAAAAAAATATTAGTAAACTCTCATTGCTATATTTTTTGAATCATACTACTAAAAAATCATTTAAAATAAAAATTTAAAACAGTAAAATTGGAGCATAAAATACATAATTGAAATTATTGATTTTAAAATAAAATGTATTTTCATAAAATAAAAGAGAAAGATTTTTTTATAAATTATAATATTTTTTATAAGAAAATAAAAGAGTATGTATCCGTATTTTTCCAAATTTTTATTTAATAGATTCAATTACCACCCCTAATTTATATCTATTTATTTTTTGGATAATTATTCGAAACTGTGTCTGTATTTATTTTTGTAAATTTTTGCTTTTATCTGTTGTGGTTAATAGTTTGTAAGTACAAATTATATATATATATATATATATATATATATATATATATATATATATATATATATGTATATATATATATAATTTTTATAAAATGGTTAAGTGTAACATTTATTTTAGAATGGAGGATTACTGAACTTGAATTTGCAGCTTGTGTAACGAAGTTAAAAAAGTCTCCAAGGAAAAGAAAACATAACAGGTATGACCCCTCTATTTTTCCATCTCAATTAGAAAATATCACAAAAAATAACGGTTATCAACTTTCGTCATCAACAACGTTAAATAGAAAAATCTTATTTCAATTTTTATTAACATAATGAAGAAACATAATTTAAAAACAATAAGTAATTTACCACAACAAAAACTATCATATTCAAGTTATGTGCATGTACAAAGTGTATTGCGTACCCAAAATCTGATAAAGAAGGTACAACAATTAGGGATGTTTATTAGCCGATTATTTAAATTATTTATATAGAAATTTGATTATTAAAAATTAATTAATTATTAGTATGATTATAATTAAATCTAATTTTAAATATATTAATAATATAGTTTTAATTAAATTTATAATTCGAATATGCATATTTAAAATAAAAATTAAATTAGTCAATTTTTTTAAAAAGAAAATTATTTTATTTTGAAAATAAAATTTTGAATTTTTTTTTAAAAAAAAATCTTAAAATGATATTTTTAATAAATAAAAAATACTGAAAAACTAACAAAAAAACTGTTTTTTAAATAAATAATTATTTTTCAAAAACTAAAAAAAAAATATGATTTTTTTATTTTTGAACATAAATATTTTTTTTGGAAAAAAACAATTACATTTTTAAATAAAAATTATTATAAAAAATAATTTTAAAATAAAATAAAATCAAAATTAATTATGAAATTGGTTAGAAATATAACTGATTAATACTTGTTTATAACTATTTTACAAAAATAAAAACCAATTATAATAATTGATTTTAATAAATAATTATAATTATATAAATTATTTATAATTATAGATTGATTATGTAAATTAACTATGTAGTAGCATCCATAACAACAATGGTTTAGGAAGCTTCTTTCAAATTTGATTGTATTTCTTTCATTCAATAACGTTAATAACATTCAAATAAAGGAAACATAGGCATATTAGAAAAGTGGATGTTCAAACATGTACGTTGGATGAGATTAAAAATACGAATTTGTCTCTGATTAATATTATCTATATTTTATAAATAAAATAATATTATAAAATTGATTTGAAAGATTGAAAAATTTATTTATTTGAAGGATTTCTGAGTAAGAGAATAATTGTGCCTAAGCATAAAAAGGAGGAGGTTGCATATTAATTGTTCATAAGGGTTAATCTCAAATTACTTTTATTTTATAGTTCTGCAATTTTTTTTGTTTACATATTTATAGTATTAAAATATAAAATATTATATATCTAAAATAATTTATTTCGTGTGATGTACGGATGATTTGTTTCAAGAAGAAAAATAATCGATAAAAGTTGAAAAAAAAAGTATTAGTAAGAAATTAGAGAAAATTAGTGATGTACTAATATAATAAATAAAACAAATTTATACAGTCAAACTATCACGATTATGAATTTTATATGATATGGCAAAACAATATAATTTTTATTAAATAATAGTCTAAATTTTATTTTATACTGTGCATCTCTTTTAATCTCAAGAAAATAATTGATAAATTATTAGAAAAATATGGAGTTTTTTTTGGGAAACAATATTGGGAAGTTTTGTTTTTATTAAAAATAAAATGACATTTATAACGGTATCGGGAAAATGTAAAGATACAGTCAGAGGTCATAATGGAGGAAAAACGCGCGCACGCAAGAAGCGTACAGCGGAGCTTGGCGGCGGAGTCCTAGTTCGTGTCGGTTGCTGCGAAGAACGGAGTTGAATTTAGAAAACGATCAAAAGATAGTTTTGATTCTACAGAAGAATTCTCACAGTAAAATAAAGCATTAATTCGAACCAAATAAATATTTTATTCATTTTTTTTCAAATAATAGCTTTTGATTTTGATACTTTCAACTTCAGTCCAAAAACACATTAATTGAGACGCGCTAACTGTCGTTGAAAAATAATTGCTCATGAAGTTTACCTGTTTGATATAATTCCTGAACGGGGGCATGCATGTATCATTGTCTAAATGTTGACTAGTACTAGTTTATGCTTTTTCTGATTTTTTTACTCATCAACCTTTATATATATGTCTCACATGACTCATTATTGTGGCAATCATCAATATGAATTAAACATCTTTAACCCCAAATAATTGACTTTACTTTCTAGCTGATTCATCACTTTACTTTATAAAATTGTTGATGCTCACATTTCTTTGTCTGAATAGTAAAAATTTAAGAAAAGATGATGCTTAAATTAAAAAAAAAAAAAGTCTTAATCAAACTAGTTATTCTTAAATAGTTTTATGGATTAGATTAACATTTTAATGAATAAACTTACACCATCCTAATAAATGCGTTTATATGCATTCGGAACTTCAAATTCAAAATACACATGCAATATATGTTCCGGCTTTCAATCTCTGAATTATTGATATATCTCAACTTTTCTTTTCCTTGTTAATATTAAGATGAGCACTTCTTCTCAAATTCTCTTCCTGTCACTCATTGCTATTTGGTTCATATCTCTAACAGCTTTTGGAGCTGATACTATTCACCCGGACGAAAGTATGATATCTATTTCTACCGTAGCTCGCTAATTATAGAGAAGTTTCTTTAATCTGATCTTTGTTTTCTAGTTTTTTCTATCTATGGATTCGTGTTAGTTTAAGTTACATGTATTTTTCTGCTCATATAGAAATTCTGTAGATATATTCGATGGCATGTGTTTGTCGTTAGAAAATTTTCAGCACTTAGTTGATAGCTTTTGAATTGTATATATAGAGAAAGCTCTTGAAGATATAGCCAAATCCCTTGGTAAGAAGGATTGGGACTTTAATATTGATCCATGCAGCAACAAACCCAATTGGGCTACACCAAAGCCTACACCTAGCACTCCCAGATTGAGTATTGTAGAGAATAATGTCACCTGCAACTGCAGTGTTGCTGGTGACAACTTTTGCCATGTTGTTTCAATGTAAGTCTATTTTCCCAGATGTGACCTTTTGCTATCGGCCTTTCTAATTAAGTTGATTTCATTTTCATTTCATTTACGGTAGTACTCAAGTATTTACATTGACATAGAGGTAGGAAATTAAGAATTGATATTTTATGCATGTGTGTATACATGAGTTAGATTGGTTAATACCATGTAATAGACTTAATGACGTCTATAAAACTGCTTCCCTTACAGTAAAATTAAGATTCGAAAGGAAAATCAATTTTTCCAAAGATGTGTTTTTTACTAAAATTATGTTTGGCAGATAGTAAAATCAGTTTTAAAACAACCTACAGTATAAGAGCTTGTTGCATCTTTTCTAGTAAATCTATTGGTTAAGATATCAGAATTAATTACTTTATTTTTCTTATTGTTTATGATTAACTTTTTTATGGTAACTGAAATGTATATACAGAACTTTGAAAGGGCAAAATCTCCCCGGTACTCTCCCACCAGAACTGGCCAGGTTGCATTACCTTCAAATCATGTAAGTAACTCACAAACTTTCCCTCACGTCCAAATTAACATTATTATTGAACTTGTGTTATATCATTAATCACACGTATCTATACGTTATTTTGCAAGACAGACTCTTTCTCTCACACTCTTGCTCTCTCTATTGCAGTGACCTCTCTCGCAATTACTTGAACGGTACAATTCCTAAAGAATGGGGCTCCATGGTGAATCTTCTTAACATGTATGATCTGTTTCTTATTTTTCTTTTCTGGTTTTTAATCATTGACTGTTCTATATGAATCTTCTAAAACTGATACATGGGTCGGATTACCTATTTATTCATTTTGTCCCACTCTTTGCATTCATTTTCTTGTAGACTTGTAGTAATTACGTTAAAATAACCTAATGACAACATGTTTCTTAATCATCATAGTACTCTCCCTGGAAATCGATTAACGGGTTCAATACCAAAGGAGATTGCAAATATATCAACCCTGATTCAGTTGTGAGTTTCTCATTATCCCATTTGGCAAGAAAATCTATTTCATAAGTACATAAACACATATGTGTTCAGTTGAAAGAGTTTAAGTCAAACTTAACTTTAACATGAAATGGATAGGGAGTTAACGGCCAATCAATTGTCTGGAAATATTACTTCTGAGCTTGGGAATCTACCCCAGATTCGAACACTGTAAGTACTTTATTATTTTCCTTAATTGACATTCTCCTCCCAATATGAAAGCCTGGTGTTTAAAGTCCACTTTGATTTCCATGGCATAGAATCATAATTTCCTGTTCTGTTTTTCAATTATATATAGGCGATTTTCTTCTAACAATTTTTCTGGAGAGCTTCCTGCGACATTGGCCAAACTCACTACATTGCAAGATTTGTAAGCTTGAAGTTTTTATAGTGACATTTAGTGATGACTGGTGGCTAAATTAAAAAATGATTTTTATGATGCTTCATATTTTCATGCCCTTTATCAATGCAGCCAAATTTCGGACAACCAATTCTCGGGAAAGATACCCGATTTTATTCAGAACTGGACTAATATAAATACGCTGTATGCACTCTACTTTTTAATTTTTAATTTTCCTCAAATATAATTGCTTTTGTATTGCTTGACTTCAAAAAAGAAAATTATTCATGGTTACTTTACTTTGACAGAATCATTCAAGGGAGTGGATTAAGTGGACCAATTCCTTCCCAAATTTCACTTTTGAGAAACTTAACTGACTTGTATGTATGATGTTTTATATACTGACAAAGCATGGGATGAAATTTAACTTTCATGTTAATTATGTTTACTTATATTCGGTTCAAATATCCAGGAGAATTAGTGATTTGAATGGATCGGAATATGCACCTTTGCCACAACTTGATAATCTGACATTGTTAGAAAAACTGTGAGTTAATTTCTCTGCCTTTCAGAAATAGATAAGAAACGCAGCAGCAAGAAAGGCACTCATAATATATCTTTGTCTATCTTATTGTTTCACAGGATTCTGAGGAATTGCAACATCAATGGAACTCTACCTGAAAATCTTAGTACTATGACATCATTAAAATACTTGTAATTGCTTACTTGCTACATTTTATTTTATTGTAGCTGACAATGTTTCTTCTGTCAGTTTAGCGTATTCTGTAACCTCAGGCATCTTTGTTTTTATAACTAATGTTTTGATAGATATAACATTTTTATAGCTCTTCAGCTTATTATATTGTTAGAATGTTTTTATATGACAAATTTTACTTGTAGCTTTTTAACTCATTCTCAATATACTTTCAGAGACTTCAGCTTTAACAAATTCAGTGGAACAATTCCGAGTACCTATGCTTACATAAATGGTGTGAAATTCATGTATGAAACTCATCATAGTTTCTCAGCGCAATTTTTTTTACGTATATTTTTAATGACATTTCTGTTGGCTACTTTACACCTATAACTCTAGTTTCAATTTTCAGTTTGAAGTAGGATAGCTGAATACTCCTACTTAGAATCGTACCAAGTTTCCAATTTTATATAGTAAAAGAATGGGTCAGGTTGAAACTTATTTAATTATATGGTTGCAATACCTGAAGTGCTGGGAATATTTCTGCTTTTTATATTATTGGTATGTCTTAAAGCTGCAAAAACATATCATTGAGATTGTTTCAAAAGTTTAAGAAAATGTTTTTGCACCTTTCTGATGCAACTTTTTTGTGTCAAAAGGATCACATGCCCTTCCTACTTGAAAAGGAAGTGACAATATACGAAGTGTGATAATGAGTGTCAAAGTGATATGTTTAGGACTTTTTGTTATTTCATTCATCTTAGTCGGTGTCTAAGAATTGACACACCTTTATGTATAGAAGGGTCTCTCTCGAGAGTTGGCTAAATTAATTCAATTTGGGCAGATTTTTAGCTTACTTCCCTCAATGTATGCCTAAAAAAATATTAGGATCTGAAATTAATATTGATATTCTATTTGGCCAGATTTTTAACTGGAAACCTTCTCACAGGACCGATACCTTCTTGGAAAAAGAATATCGACGTGTAAGTTATCTTTTAATACTACTTGTATGATTCCTTGGATTGAACAACGTATTTTATTTCCGTTGCAAATATATTATAATTTATATACATATCATCTGTTTTTTTTCCTCTCTAAGTGGACTTTGCTTTTTTTCTTTTTCTTTTTGCTTGCTTCCCTGCTTTTGCCCTGCTTAGCTGTGTATTTTTCTTTTTTGCTTGCATTAAGTGTACAACCACCGAGCACCAACTATTTATTACAGTTTAGTCCTTTGTTATTGCTCTCATGATGACTTCTAGTGCTAGCTCCATAATCACGCGTTTAGTTTCCCTTAGATTACAAGTTCACAACCCTCTTAATCTTCCCTCTCTTAAGTGTATAATATACCTTCTTAAAGCTGCTGGGTTATTTGCTCCCAATCAGTTGATGAGGAGCTTATTTTTGACCTACTTCTCAGTAAAAAATATCGTTTTAAAACTCGTATGTATTTTGAGTATGATTTTTTTATTTTTTAATTTTAGATAGTTTTCTATTGTTCTTCTCTTTCTAGTTAGGAATCCTAGTTGCATAATCTTGGTAGGAAAGAGCCTATGATTAAGTCTCTGACTATATTATTGTTTTCATATTCTGAATCAAATTTTATGACCTGAATATAGAGATCTTTCATACAATAACTTCAGCATCAACCAAGAAAGTCAGATATGTCAAAGTGATAAATTGTAAGAATCCCGGCATTTGTGTTCATTTGTTTGTGAATTTAACAACCTTTCTAAGACATCACTTTTTCTAATGTCACAGAAACTTGTTTTCTACCTCATGGGCAAACAATAACATGTAAGTTTGGTCTTTTACACACACACACACAATATATATATATATATATATATATATATATATATATATATATATATATATATATATATATATATATATATATATATATATATATATATATATATATATATATATATATATATATATAGATAGATAGATAGATAGATAGATAGATAGATAGATAGATAGATAGATAGATAGAGAGAGAGAGAGAGAGAGAGAGAGAGAGAGAGAGAGAGAGAGAGAGAGAGAGAGAGAGAGAGAGAGAGAGAGAGAGAGAGAGAGAGAGAGATCTATATACACATATATATACATATGTATATATATATGTGTGTGTGTGTGTTTGTGTGTGTGTGTGTGTGTATATATATATATATATATATATATATATATATATATATATATATATATATATATATATATATATATATATTATTTTTAAATATCTTATTATAATAATCATGCTAACATATTCTATTCCTTCCATCATTCTCTCAGAGGAACAGTTTCATGTTTGGGAGAATGTCCTAAAAAATGTGAGTTTCTTCATTGTCACTTTCCTATAGACAGCTAAAATCTTTACATTTTTGCTTTTTAAAAAAAAAATCTTAGAGGTAGAAGAGCAGAGGGACCAAAGACAAACATGCTTAGAACAACATATTTTGACAGGAGTTATATCTTTCTCTTTCTATTGGTACTTTATCAAATGATGTAGGTTAGAAAAATTCTTCCACTCAATTTATCAATAGATCACTTATTTAATTATAAAATAATCTTGACTCCAAGATGTTTCATATTAGAGGGATAAGTGGAACTAAAAGGGTTTTCTTTTGGTGTCTAGATTCCTTAAGTTTACTTTACAATAGTCCAAGCATGATATTGTAGATTTTTCAGCACAAACATAAATTTTGTTGGTTGAAAAGGACAAATGTGTTGTCTTCTAGTTCCCTAAATTTACTTTGGGCACACTACAATCTGGCTGTGTGTATTAAAAATATTGGCAGAATAAACCGTGACTTTTGTTTGACTAGCTAGAGTTATATAACTTACCATAACAAAAACAGGATAGTTAGAAAGAAAGAGAATGAGTATAGAAAAATAAATTTCAAAAAATATATTTTTCCTTATTTTTCTTTGATTCCTTAATATTTTCAAAGTCAATCACATGATCTGCTCAATCCAGCCTTATACTCCCTTCATATAAATTGTGGTGGAAAGCAAGAACGAGTCAATGGAGAAAGTTATGATGACGATTCAGATTCACCTGGAGCAGCTAAACTCCATGTCAGTCCATCCGGTAAATGGGCATTTAGCACCACTGGTATCTTCATTGATGGTGATCAACTTGGAGAAACTTATTTCCCGCCAGATTTTACTCCACTTACTATGGAAGATGCTAAGTTGTACATGAATGCACGTGGTTCTCCCATTTCTTTGACTTATTATGGGTTTTGTCTGGAAAATGGAAGATACACGGTAAATCTCCATTTTGCTGAAATAGTGTTCACAGACGATCAAACTTATCGTAGTCTTGGAAGACGTGTATTTGATATCTACCTTCAGGTACATAGTTTAACAATTTTATTTTAATAATCACTTGGTGTTTCATAAAAAATAAATTAAGGTCATTAGTCAAGTGATCGCTGTCAAACTATATTTTCTTTGAATAAAATATGAAGAATGTGATTGAAATCTTTTTCTGATCAGAGTGTGAAAATAATTGGTGGGTAACCCTATAGCAGAAATCTGATAAGAGGTGACCCAGTGGATTTTAAACTAGGTTACGATACCATCTTAGAATTTAAGTTGGGTCTAATTCATCTATAAAAAATCAACTTGTAGGATGAGGATTGCCCCCACTTATAAGCACATGTTCAAGCCATATATTGTCCGATGTGGGCCTCTTAACAGTTTCTAATGCAAATCATCGATTAAAATATTTGTAGGCTGTAATCACCATGAAACGTTAAGGTTGTGATTGAAATGTTACAGGGAAATCCGGTGCAAAAGGACTTCAATATTGCAAAAGAAGCGGGAGGAGTTGGTAAGAAAGTCATAAAACAGTTCAAAGATGTTTTTGTTACTGGTAGTACCTTGGAGATCCGTTTGTATTGGGCTGGAAAAGGGACACAGTCTCTTCCAAATAGATCAGTATTTGGTCCTCTTATATCGGCGATATCAGTGGAATCTGGTGGGTTATACTTTCTCTGCTCCTAATCTTATACAATGATCTCCAAGGAATGATCTAATATTTAAAATGTCTTGTATATAATAATCAAGCAGACTCTCCACCCGGAGGCATATCTGTAGGTGCTGTGGTTGGAATTGTGGTTGCAGCAACAGTTATTATCATTCTAATATTTGGTATACTTTGGTGGAAAGGATGTTTTGGAAAGAAAAAATCATTAGCAAGAGGTGATTATAAATGATTTTCTTTTGTTGCCATTACTATCAAACTTTTCGCTAACATTTGAAAAATTCACGTGATAAAAAAAATGCTCATGTTTTATAACTGAGTAAAGTTTGAATATGTACTATTTTGTTGAACGTGAGACTTTTTCTTTTTTTTGATAAAACAAAGTTGCACGCTTACAAAAGAATGGATTGTCAATTCAGTGTCCATGTGTAATTTTCTGAGTGTAAGATTTTTGATCTTTCTTTTACTTCAATTAACAGACCTGAAGAGTTTGGACGTTCAAACTGGTTTATTTACCTTAAGACAAATCAAAGCAGCTACAAATAACTTTGATATTTCCAATAAGATTGGAGAAGGAGGATTTGGTCCCGTGTATAAGGTATTTTACATAATTTAACAAATCCTCTTGTTTGTCACCCTATTACTATAATATTACATATAATTTTTAGAAATTTCTATTTCAACTTTTAACAAAATAGCATTCCTCAAAATGCAGGGATGTTTACCCAATGGGACACTGATAGCAGTAAAGCAACTTTCTTCTAAATCAAAGCAAGGGAATCGTGAGTTCTTAAATGAGATAGGCATGATTTCTGCTTTGCAACACCCTTATCTTGTTAAACTTCATGGTTGTTGTGTGGAGGGAGATCAGTTGTTGCTGATATATGAATACCTGGAAAACAATAGTCTAGCTCGTGCTTTATTTGGTAATTTTTCCTGTTCAGGTTTCTATTTACCTGGAAAACAATAGTCTATGTGGTGTCACTTTCTGATTTTTTTTACATTTACAAATAAAGGTCCAGAGGAACACCAAATTAAATTAGATTGGCCAACAAGGCAGAGGATTTGTGTTGGTATTGCTAGAGGTTTGGCATACCTCCATGAAGAATCAAGACTGAAGGTTGTTCACAGGGACATCAAGGCCACTAATGTATTGCTTGATACGAATCTTGATCCAAAGATATCTGATTTTGGTTTGGCCAAGCTTGATGAGGAGGACAATACTCACATTAGTACAAGAATTGCTGGTACCTAGTGAGTAACTATAATTCTTGTCTTCTCCTAGTTTATTAATAAGTGCTGCAAAAAGTTATTATACTCAATTCAAGTTACATATTTTTATTAATTAAAAGTTTGATATCAAGTTGTATACTTATATCAAAGTCATTTCAATGAAACTTTCCAATTATGCAGTGGATATATGGCTCCTGAATATGCAATGCATGGTTATTTGACGGACAAAGCAGATGTTTATAGTTTTGGAATTGTTGCCTTGGAAATCGTTAGTGGAAAGAGCAACACCATGTATCGATCAAAGGAGGAAGCTTTCTATCTTCTTGATTGGGTAACTCTTTTTTATCTCAATTGGCCATGTAAATTAGATTATCCATTGTACAATCTACTTACATTTCGTTCCATGTCATACATATATTGATGTTCATTTTTCAGCTAATAATTCAATTCTAGAAGTGAATAAAATTAATTACCCTTTTTCTTGCTCAGACCAACAAGAAGACAGCAACCTAGCTAAAGGAAAAACTAAGAAACAGAATGCTAATTTTGAAAATACATTGAAAATTTCTTTGTAAGGAATACATTTTACTAGGACAATGAAGGGATAAAAAAAGGATGCATTCTTAATATTTTCTTAGAAGAGTAATTGTACAAAATCTTTCATAATTACTGTCAATTTCTACAATGTTAATTCATGAATCATCTAAATTACATACTAGTGGCATCAATTTGGTGTAAATCACCTGGGTTTTAAATCAAACTATTCTTTGTTTTCTTTCCCCTTTCGACAGGCACATTTGTTGAAAGAGAGGGGTGACTTAACGGAGCTAGTTGATAGAAGATTAGGTTTAGATTTCAACAAAAAGGAGGCTATGGTGGTAATCAATGTGGCTCTCCTATGCACCAATGTCACTTCAAACCTTAGGCCGTCCATGTCGTCGGTGGTAAGTTTCCTTGAAGGAAGGAATGCGGTTCCAGAATTTGTTTCAGATTCAAGTGAAGTAATGGATGAAAAGAAGTTGGAAGCAATGAGGAAGTATTACTATCAGAAGGAAGAAAATAAGACGAGTACTACGTCACAAACACAAAATCAGAGTTTATTAAATGATGGGCCATGGACTGCTACATCTTCATCAGCTGTAGACCTTTATCCTGTCCACCTTGATTCTGCCTATTGGGAGGAAAGAAATTAAGTGTGTTTCTTGATAGATAATTGCATCTGCCAGCTTCATGTCCTGCTACTGTGTCATGAGATAAAACCACGGTGTATATCTTCAAAACTGAGTTTTTGGATTCTATTTAGTGTATTTTTTTTTCAATAAAGTTATATTTGGCACAAGATATGCCGAGTATTAGGAAGTCAAAACAAAAATATTGTCAGGTGATCCATTGAATCTCATCTCTGGGAATGCAGACTGTACATAGGATTCTATAGTTTAACAGCATCATCTATGTTGGACAAAAGCATGAAGATACTATGTATATCACTAGCTTAATAACTTTACTGTAAGGATTTGACTCTATAAGATGAGCTTTAACTTGTGACATTCAAATATGCAAGTAATTAGAGTCATTAAATTCAGTTATAATTTGCTTAGATATACTAGTATCTTAGTTTGTAATTTGATAATTGATGAGAGTAACCTGCTCTTTAATGCACTTTTTCTACCACATTGACTTCAACAAATTATATCATTTTTAAGGTACGTGTAAATAAATTATATTCTAACTTTTTTCACACTTCATCTATCACCTTTGACTTTCCCTTTTGAACTTTTTTACTTCTTTGACTTCATTTACAAACTTGAAATTAATACTATTACTTTGCAATTTAACTCAAAACACTGAAAGTCAACCATATTCTGATTAGAGACAAGATATATAGTACTGAATTTGCAACTTGTGTAAGAGAGTTAAGCAAAACTACAAGGAAAAGAATGCCTAACACATATTTCAAGATTTATAACGCGTATCCTCCTTTATACTTCATCATAATTCAAATATTTAACTCAAATAGACTCCTTCAAGAAACCTTAAACTTTGCCTATTTCACATTTCTAACTACAAATATACAATTAGCTGGTGGCAACATGTTTAAGATTTCTCATAAGTCATAAAGTCATTCCTTTCTCTTCAACTCTTTGTCAACCACAAACATACAGAAATTGAGTATTTTTTCTATTGCAGCTTCAGTTCTTAATATATATCACCCTTTCACATTCAAATAACTGATTTCATTTTCTTCCTCATGAGTATGTCTTTCCTTCTATTATTCCATCTTTTGCTTCTTGTCTCTTGTTGTATCTCTTCATTTGCTAGTGGAGCTACTCTGTTAGAAGAAGAAGGTACGAAACTTATACATGTCTCTTAGTAATTTATCACCACAATGAAACACCATTATTATGGTTGCAACCGTATTATGATGATGTATGTTGGTTTTGAATTAATTTTATACAGTACAAGTTATGAAAGACATAGCTAAGACACTTGGGAAGAAGGATTGGGACTTCAGCATAGATCCTTGTAGTGGACAGAGTAATTGGACATCCTCTGTGCAAGTGAATGGATTTGAAAATGCTGTCACCTGCAATTGCTCTTTTGCCAATGCCACTATCTGCCATGTTGTTAGCATGTACGTCTCTAATCTCCTCATGTCTATCTATTGTGTGTTTGATGAAGATATTTTCACTCTCTAGCCCAAAACTAAATCAATTTGCAATAGAATTTTTTGTTGGAAAAGATAGCACTAAACACACCTAATACAAGGTCAGCGGATAATTAATATCCCTCGATCAAATTTTTTCCACTATAATAATAATAATAAACAATAGAGCAGCAAAAATTTCTTCTGTTTAAATAATAATAATACAAACTGATTATTACAACTCTCACCAACAAATATGGTGGATAACCTCTCTTTTAGATTTGTCTCTCAAAAAAGGATTTTCACTTTGATGATGTTTTTAGAAATGAAACAGCAGAAGCTTATACATCCAAACCATGCAACAAATTGGTGGCTATAACGTAAAGAGAAAATTTCTCTTTCATAAGTTCACCAAGGAATACTCGCGTACTTTCAATTCCATTTTCTATAAATGTTAATGTTTCTCCTTCTTTCTCTCTCCACATAAAGAGGAAAACCCATCAATCTCCCTCATCCGATTTAGGTGGAGGGCTCATCAATCCAACAACTCTCCTGCAGAACTCGTACTTGTCCTTGGGTAAGGACTTGGTCATCATATATGAGCAATTGTCATCAGTATGAATTTTCTCAAGCTGTAGTTGCTTGAAATTCAACATATCATGTATCCAGTGATATCTCACATCAATATGCTTTGACCTCGAGTGAAAGCTCGAAGTCTTACTCAAGTGGATGGCGCTCTGACTATCACAATGCACGACATACTTCTGCTGGTCTTGCCCTAATTCATGCAAGAATCACTTCATCCATAACATTTCCTTGCAAGCTTCGGTTGTTGCAATGAACTTTGCCTCTGTGGTAGACAAAGCAACACACTTTTGTAGTTTCGACTGTCACGATACAGCTCCCCCTGAAAATGTAATCAAGAATCCAGAAGTTGATTTTCTAGAATCAATATCTCTCGCCATATCTGCATCTGTATAGCCAATTAGTTCAGGATTTCTACTTCCAAAGTATAAACTCATTTTGGAAGTTCCTTTGAGATATCGCAAGATCCACTTCACAGCATTCCAATGCCCCTTTCTTGGATTTGCCAAGTATCTGCTAACAACTCCAACAGCATGCGTTATATCTGCTCGCATACATACCATTGCATACATTAAACTACCAACAGCTGATGCATATGGCACCTTATGCATCTCTTCCTTTTCAATTTCACTTGTTAGACTCTGCTTTGAACTAAGACAAAAATGACTAGCAAGTGGAGTAGCAACTGGCCTTGCGCTTTCCATGTGAAAACGCTCTAACACTTTCTTGATATATTTTTCTTGTGATAGCCACAACTTATGTTCCTTCCGGTCACGACAAATGGACATACCAAGAATATGCTTCGCTGGTCCCAAGTCTTTCATTGAAAAACACTTCTTCATTTCATTCTTCAACTTGCTTATCTTCTCACTATTTTGTCCGATAATCAACATATCATCAACATACAAGAGTAATATGATGAACTCACCATCATCAAATTTCTTCACAAACACGCAATGATCAGAATTAGTTCTTCGGTATCCATGATCAACCATGAAGGTATCAAACTTATTGTACTATTGACGAGGTGCTTGTTTAAGTCCATACAAACTCTTTTTCAGCTGACATACTAAGTCTTCTTTTCCTTTGACTTTAAATTCCACTGGTTGCTCCATGTAAATTTCTTCTTCTAAATCAACACGAAGAAATGCAGTCTTCACATCTAGTTGTTCCACATCTAGATCCAAACTTGCAGCCAAACCAAGCACAACCCGGATTGACGACATCTTAACCATATGTGGAAAAATCTCTTCTAAATCAATGCTTTTCTTTTGACTAAAGCCTTTCACGACTAATCTTGCCTTGTATCTGGGCTTAGAGTTATTCTCTTTAGTTTTCAACTTGTACACCCATTTGTTTTTTAGTGCTCTTTTACCTTTCGGTAAAACTACTAACTCATATGTCAGGTTCTCATGCAAGGATTGCATTTCTTCTTGCATGGCTTTCAACCACTCTTCTTTGTGGCTATCCATCAAATCTTCTTCATAAGATTTTGATTCTCCCCCGTCAGTGAGTAACACAAATTCTGTTGCAGGATATTTAGTTTGTGGCTTAGGTATCCTGGATGACCTTTTTAATTGGAGCTTTTGTTCTTCACCCTCAGAGTCTTCAGTCATATCTTCATTATTACCGCCACTTCTATTATCATATGTTACTTCTTCAGTTGGACCATTATCAATTTGAGTTTCATTTTCTGCTTCTTCAATATCTTCACTTTCATCTCCATCATAATGCTCTAGAGGAGGAATTGGATTCAAGTTGATAAGATGTTCTCTAGAAATAACAGGCTTGACTCCACTCTGAATATCTTCAATATCCTAGTCTTCAAAGAAGATAACATCTCTGCTTCTAATAATCTTCTTCTCTACAGGATCCCATAACTTGTACCCGAATTCTTCATTTCCATATCCCAAGAAGATGTACTCCTTCGACTTTGAGTCGAGTTTTGATCTCTCATATTTTGGAACATGAACAAATGCTCTACAATCGAACACCTTCAAGTGATTGTAGGATACACATTTACATGTCCAAAATCTATTTGGAACATCACCATTCAATGGATTTGAAGGGGATAAGTTGATTAAATCAACTGCAGTCCTTAGAGCCTCACCCCAAAAACTCTTTGGTAACTTGGCATGAGATAAAATTGTTCTCACTCTTTCAACAATAGTTTTGTTCATTCTCTCAGCTACTCCATTGTGCTGAGGTGTCTTCGGAACAGACCTTTCATGCCGGATTCCATTACTCATACAATAATGTTGAAAGCTCCTATAAATTCTCCTCCATTGTCAGTGCGAACACATTTTAATTTCTTGCCAGTTTCTCGCTCAACACTAGTATGAAACTGTTTGAATACTACAAACACCTGATCTTTTGTTTTGAGGGCATACACCCATACCTTTCTTGAGTGGTCATCAATAAAGGTAACAAAATACCTTGCACCTCCAAGAGTACTAGTGGTCATTGGACCACAAACATTATGCACCAAATCTAAAACATTTGGTTTTCTATGTTTGGCCTTATATTGAAATGAAGCTCTATGTTGCTTTCCAGCCAAGCAATGTGTGCATGGCTTAAGAGACATTTTCAATCCCTTCAGACCAGTCAAAATACCTCTTTTGGCAAGAACTTGAAGTCCTTTCTCACTCATATGTCCGAGTCGTTTATGCCATAGTTCAACCGAGGAGTCTTCTCCGAGAGCATTTACACACCCATTATTGACTTTAGCTTCTATCACATAAAGGGTGATTACTTTCTTGCCACGGGCTACTACCAAGGAACTTTTTATTAGCTTCCATTTCTTGTCCCCAAACACACTAGTATAACCCTCTTCGACTAGTAGTCCGGTGGATATTAGATTGAGACGCATATCAGGAACATGTCTCACATCTTTCAATGTTAAGTAACAACCAGTGTTTGTTTCTAGACAAATATCTCGTTTCCCCATAATTTTGGATGTATTATCGTTGTCCATCCTCACATGACCAAATTCACCTCTGGTATAAGAGAAGAAGAAATCCCTTCGTGATGTTACATGGAATGATGCATCAGAATCCACGACCCAACATGTTTCTTGTGATGCCAAATTAACATGACCATAATCACAAACAAAGATTACCTTATTGCCTTGAAAAATGGTAGCGGCTATGTTACTCGCATCACCTTTTTCTTGTTGCTCTCTTTTGATCTTCCTACATTCTCTCTTCATGTGACCTTTCTCGTGACAATAAAATCATTCAACGTCATTTTTTTCCCACGATCTTCCATTGAACTTATCTCTAGATTTGCCTCTTCACTTGTCTCTATTGTTGAACTTCCTGTGGATACTTCTTCCACGATACTCAGTGACAAGCGCCTCCGACTCTAACGACACTCCTTGTTCCTTCCGTCGAGATTCTTTATTGAACATGTTATCTTTTACTATGTACAACGTTAGAACACCTTGTGGTGCTGAGCTACTCAATGAAACCACAAGTGTATCCCAATTGTCTGGCAAGGAACTTAATAATAATAATGCTTGCAATTCATCTTCAAGCACCATCTTCATATTGGTGAGTTGATTTATCAATCTTTGATTCAAGTGTTCGAAAACACTTCGGGTTTCTCTATACTTGAGGTTCACCAAGCGGTGTATAGTAGAGGCTTTATTCTAGGTTGTCTTTCTCTCGTACAATGTTTCTAGCTTCGTCCATAATGTGTACGCAATCATTTCTTGCGCAACATGATGAAAGACACTTTGATCAATCCATTGTCGAAATTGTCCAATAGTTTTCCTATTCATCACATTCCAGTCTTCATTTGACTTGTCGGTTGGCTTCATCCCTTTATCTTGCAAAGGTTGATACAAATCTTTGTAATAAAGTATGTCTTCCATTCCGGGCTTCCAAGTAGAGTAGTTTGAAGAGGTTAACTTAATCATCGTCGATGATCCCGTCGAGCTTGACTCGTCCATAAGTTAAAATGTGTGGTGAGCCGAAGCTCTAATACCACTTGTTGGGAAAGATAGCACTAAACACACCTAATACAAGGTCAGCGGATAATTAATATCCCTGGATCAAACTTTTCCCACTATAATAATAATAACGATGGAGCAACAAAAATTTATTCTGTTTAAATGAATAATAATACAAATTGATTATTATTACAACTCTCACCAACAAATATGGTGGATAACCTCTATTTTGGATTTGTCTCTCAAAATATGATTTTCACTTTGATGATGTTTTTAGAAATGAAACAACAGAAGCTTATATATCCAAACCATACAACAAATTGGTGGCTATAACGTAAAGAGAAAATTTCTCTTTCATAAGTTCACCAAGGAATACTCGCGTACTTTCAATTCCATTTTCTATAAATGTTAATGTTTCTCCTTCTTTCTCTCTCCACATAAAGAGGAAAACCCATCATTTTTTTATCCGAACCACAATTATTGAGTACTACTCAATTATTCACCAACCTTGTGGT